TTTTGAATTACATATAGTTGAAAACAATACAATGAGGCTGGATCTTAAAAACTGCTAAATTATGAATTCACAATTTCACTCAAACTTTCCCCTTGAAATTTGGGATTGAAGAAACGATTCTGTAAAAGGAACACATCCAATAGCAGCAGCAGCACCACGCTAGAAGAAATCAGAGGCTACAACTAGCTGAAATGTAAGCTTCCTTTCAATGTTCTGGTTTAGAGAAACCAGATGCAGTAAATTAAAGTTTAATCAAATAAATGGGAAGATATTTTTAATTAGACTTTTCACTTTAGCTTTTTAAAAAGTAATTGGACGAAAGTTCAATCTGATCTTTTTTTCTCCCCCTTGCCTCTCTTGGTAGACCTCATGTTGAAAATCAGACTTAAGTATCTGAAACTAGAATTCTGCCTCCAGTTTAATACATGTTAGAAAAATGCATAAAGGAATAATGCTTCCAGGAGCAGCACAGTTTCCTTTCTCACTTGATGCAAGGGTAGCTATGCAAGACAGAGCCAAAGTCATTCACATTTGTAGAGTGAAAAGCAGAAACTGATCTAGGATTAACATCAAAAGTACAGAGAAAGGAAATGTCCCAGGATGATTTGGGATGCTCAAGCTAAATGTAAGACAGTCAAAAGAATTACTTAAAAATTCAACTTAAAATTTACATGGACGACAAAACAAAAAGGGGAAAACAAAACATTCTTCTGTTCCAATTGCTTGCTGGGAAGTTAATGTAGCAGATAGACAGGCTTCAACAGGCATACCTCCTCAAAGAGTTTTCTGATGTTCAGAATCAAGATTTTGCCCCTATTGATGTTGGTGCGTTCACCAAGCTGGGAGGTTTGATAGTGAACGTTTCGTACCTTTACTAGGTGACATCCTGTGCGCTGTGGAGCCTCCTATGAAGCACTGTTGTCTTGTGTCAGTTTGAATTTATATGGTTTAGTTTTTGCTGCTTCCGGTTCTGGCTCCAGCTGTGTGTTGTAATGGTCAGTACATTGGGTCTAATTCAATGTGTTTATTGATCGAGTCTGTGAATGAATGCCAAGCCTCCAAAAATTCCCTGATTGTCCTGTGTTTGGCTTGTCCCATGATAGTTATGTTGTTACAGTTGAAAGTGTGGTTTTTTCCCCCCTCAGCTGTGTGTATTGACACCAAGGACATTTAGTTGCTAGCTGGTGTTTGTGGATGTAGGTTGCTAGTTGTCTGCCTGTTTGTCCAACAGAGTGTTTGGTGCAGTCTCCACACGGTATCTTATAAACCACATTTGTCCTGTCCGTGGTATCAAGTGGATCGTCAGCCTTGGTCAGTTGCTATTTTAAGTGCAGCTGCTGGTTTGTGTGCTGTCATGATTCCTAGTGGTTTGAGTACATAGAACAGTACAGTACAGGCCCTTCGCCCCACAATATTGTACCAACCTATTATCCTACCAAGATCAATCTACCCTGCATATCCTACATTTTACTATCCTCCATGTGCCTATCCAAGAGTCACTTAAAAGTCTCTAAAGTATCTGACTCCACTACCACTGCTGGCAGCGTATTCCACACGCCCACCACTGTGTGTGAAGAGCATACCTCTGACACCTCCCCTATACCTTCCTCCAATCACCTTAAATCACTTGCCCTCTTGCAAGTCATTTCCACCCTGGAAAAAAGTCTGACTAGCCACTCTATCTATGCCTCTCAGCATCGTGTACACCTCTATCAAGTCACCTCTCTTCCTTCTTCGCTCCAATGAAAAAAGCCGTAGCTCCCTCAACCTTTCCTTAAGGCCTACCCTCCAGCCCAGACAGCATCTTGGTAAATCTCTGCACCCCCTCTAAAGCTTCCACAGCTTTCCTGTAATGAGGTGACCAGAACCAAACACAATATTCCAAGTGTGGTCTAACCAGAGTTTTATAGAGCTGCAACATAACCTTGCAGCTCTTAAACTCAATTCCCCTGCCAATGAAAGTCAATACAGCATACGCCTTCTTTACAACCCGATCAACCTGGGTAGCAACTTTTAGGGATCTATGGACGTGGACCCCAAGATCCCTCTCTTCCTCCACACTGCTGAGAATCCTGCCATTAACCCTGTATTCTGCATTCAAATTTGACCTTCCAAAATGAATCACTTCACACTTTTCTGGGTTGAATTCCATCTGCCACTTCTTTGCCAAGCTCTGCATCCTGTCAATGTACCATTGCAACCTACAACAGCTCTCCACACTGTCCACAACTCCACCAACCTTAGTGTCATTGGCAAATTTACTAACTCACCTCTTCCACTTCCTCATCCAAGTCATTTATAAAGATCACAAAGAGCAGAGGTCCCAGAACAGACCCCTGCGGGACACCACTGGTCACTGAACTCCAGGCTGAATACTTTCCATTTACTGCCATCCTCTGTCTCCTATTGGAGAGCCAGTTTTCTATCCAGACAGCCAAAGTTCCCCGAATCCCATGCCTTCAGTAGTTTGGCTGTCAGTTCTGGAAGTGTTTTTTACCCTTCTATTTCACCCCTCTGAAACTTTAAGAGTGTGCAATTTTAAATGGGACTGTACTCCATTGTAGACATCTGTTGGCCTTTCACCAAATCACTTCAAATGATTGGTTTTTCTGCTCTGTAGTTCACAAGAATGTCACCATTCATTTGTAACCTTCTTAAAAAAAAAAGGAAAACGAGCTCAGTATGATTCTGAATGAGCACAAAGTTAATGAGACTAAATGCTGAGATATTTTATGAAGTTGCTTTTACTGACAGTCTGCTCTTACTGGAATTTCAACCACCTCAGGTTAACAATCATGCAGTGTAAGCTTGTTGGAACATTGGCACTAGCCAGTAACAGAACACGATCACAAGCAGGCAAAAGGAATTCAGAGGGGGGAGGGGCACAGACAGATACACACAGACTCTCCTTTTGGAATTGTGTCAAACCTAACTGGAATTTCCTCTATGGAATCAGGAGGCAATATCTTATGAAATCATTAAATGATTGGCCACATTTATTTCATCCTTCCTGCTGGCCTCCTTTAAAAGGCATGGGCATACAACAAATCTGCCTTGAATATTAATTGCCATAAACATAATTGGAATACACCTGCACAATGTTATATTATTTTCAATAATTGAAGATTCCCAGTAAGAGATGGAAATTAGAATTTTAGAGAAAGAACACACTTAAGCCCAAAGTGTGTTTCTAGCACAAGATGATGCAAAGTGGGAGGTGGGTTGTGGAAAGCATAACAATATCCTTAATACTTTCTTCCACATGTACATTACTGGCTTCATAAAAATTTCCTGCAAGTTATCAAAAGAAAGACTTTTAGTAACTATACAGAAGGGCACTTGTCAGTTTACAGCATGATTTCAACAGGCAGCAAAAGTTTAACACAAGGTTGTGACATCATCTTCTTAATGTCCAAATGAACATCAGCAATATACCAGGAGGTGGCGACATTCCACAAGGATGGCAGATTTAAGAAGCGTTGCCATCTCCAAAGTCAGCTGATAATCTCTGTAAAATGGATAACTTGCAACAAAAAAATACCAGAAAGTGAATCAATTCAATCCATCCAGTATACAGCTCTAACATGCAGTACCCCCTTTGACAATCCATTTAGAGTAGGGCTCATTTGTTTTGCTTGAACAGAATTATCAGCCGTAGAACTGAATCTTCCAATCTAATTATCTCAAAAAAACCTTACACAGCATGAATCTTAGGAGGTGATTTACTGTTATGCTTCCTCTTCTCCAGAAGAACTCAATCACTTAATGGAAAATGTGTTTACATCACTGTTCAATCAGGGGCAATCAGAATCCAATGTTTCCTCAATTTTGCAGCCAAGCAGCAATCCAGGAGCTCCTGTGTAGTCCGAACACAGATCAGCTCCTTTAAGTTGCTACACAAAGATTTAAAAGTGACTAGGCTGTATGCAACAAGAGGGAGACAATTTGTGTGACCCTGACAAATTTAGTTAAAATCTCAGTAGGGGAAGAGGGAGCAGTACTTTAACTGGTCTAATGGGCACTCTGACAACTCAAGCCATCCCAGCCTCCCCAGTCTGAAGGAAGCTGCATTTAGTAAAGTTGACTTCTCAAGTATGGTTAATGGAATTCACAGGACCACAAAACAAAAAAAAAACCTCAAGTTTATTTCATTTCTTTTAAGCACAATTGTGTTAAAAAGGCTTCATTTAAAGAATCATTGCCTAAATGTAAGGTTTTAATTCAGAATGTTTCTACAAACTGAGGTTAATAGTCTTCCCCAAAAACTTACCTGGACCATGGCCTTTCTTAGGTCCCATCCAATTCACCTTTTGCC